AGCTAAGGGAGATGACCAGCTATTGTCTTCTAAAATGGTGAATAAAATTGTTTTCTCCACTTATCTAGAAGCCTTTGAGAGGGAAGTGACACAAATTCTAACCACTCCAACAGCTATCAAAATACCTGAAAACAAATCCTGAATCCACCACTCTGGAGTCCATCCTTGGAAGACAAAAGAAAAATGAGGAGGAACCTAATAGAGGGATGCTTTTGAAAGCCTTTGTCAAGAAATTCCAGTGGACTCTCATATGAACATTTGAAAATTGCCCTGTTCTGACTTTTTTCTAGTTCCCTGTCTATAACTTGTAATGCTAATTACTCTTGCCTTTACTTCTCCTTCACATCTCCTATTCACGATTTAAGGACTTTCTTTTCCTCTTAGAGATAAGAGTTATGTAATCTGGAAGCCTTTAAATAGACCCACCCTGTGCCCATGTTCAGCATGGAAGAAGCCATAGTGTTCTGAGTCCAGATTCTCTAGCCACAAGTGGGTAACCTCTTCAGAGGATGGTGTGATAAGAATAGGAGGTAGGAACTGGCTAGGCAGTTAGGGTACAAAGACCCCAAAGAAAAGTAGCCAGTTTCTTGGCTAAAAGTCAAAATGTCCTTGGGCCTCTTAGCAACATACTCTGTTCCAAAGGCCAAAAATGTTGAAAGTGTTTGGGAGCTTATATCTAATCCTTAGAAGATTTCAGGGTTACCTCTTCAGAGGGGGTAATGTTATCGAGTAGCCAAAAGCCCCATAAAAATAAAGAAATAAATCAAAGATGAAGAAAGAGTAATGTGTGTGTGTGTGTGTGTGTGTGTGTGTGTGTGTGTGTGTGTAAAGAACTTTAAGAGACAGTGAAAAGCCTTCCCCTTCCCCTCCTTTCATGCCCACTTTGTTGCTGTAATTCCATGACAACTAGTTACCACTTTCTTATGGTATAATCATCAGGCAAACATAACAACTGTGAACATACAATCATTTCTATTTGTCTTACATAAAAGGTTTAAGATTCGGTACACTTTATTTTTCTCACCTAAGAATATATACCTCACCGGGCACATACCTTTAATCCCAGCACTGGGGAGGCAGAGGCAGGTGGATCTCTGTGAGTTACAGGCCAGCCTGGTCTACATAGTGAGTTCCAGGGCAGCTGGGGCTACAAGGAGACCCTGTCTAAAAAAGACCAAAAAAAAAAAAAAAGAATATATACCTCAGCCAGGGGTGGTGGTGTGCGGTCACTGCCAGCGGTGGCCACTCCTCCATTCTCATGGGTGCCGCTCCTTCGTTCTTACGGGCATCAAGATTGCTCCTCCGCTCACCCTGGGCTGAGGCCACTCTTCTGCTTGCCCGGTGCTGAGGCCACTCTTCTGCTCTCCCGGTGCTGAGGCAGCTCTTCTGCTTGCCCTGTGCTGCCTCCTTTCACCCGGTCCCGGACTCCAGGGCTGGTGAGGAGACTGTGTCAACGGAGCCGCATTCAGACACAGGAGACCAGTTTCAGTGACAAAGGTCTATTTTATTGCAGGAAGGCACAAGCTTATATAGGGGTAGTAGTCCAATCACAGCACAGCAAGTAGGATACCTCATTAGCA